AGTGACGAGGAATGCCAAAGATTGCTGGGACTTTTGGTGTCTTAGAAGCTTGTGAGCGGCCCACTAAGATACTCCTCTGGTCTCACCCCAACTGGAGCAAGGGAGAATGAAGAAAACCAAAGACACAAGGGAAAGATTAGTCCAAAGGACTCACAGACCACAACTACTATAGCCTTCACCAGAATAAGTCCAGCACAACTATATGGTGCCCGGCTATCACCACTGACTGCTCTGATAGGGATCACAATAGAGGGTCCTGGACAGAGCTGGAGAAAAATGTGGAACAAAAGTCTGACAAAAAAAAGACCAGATTTACTGGTCTGACAGAGACTGGAGAAATCCTGAGAGTATGGCCCCCGGGTACCCTTATAGCTTAATAATAAAGTCACTCCTGAGGTTCACCCTTCAGCCAAAGATTAGACAGGTCCATAAAACAAAATGACACTAAATGGGCACACCAGCCCAGGGGCAAGGACGAGAAGGCAGAAGGGGACAGGAAAGCTGGTAATGGGGAACCCAGGGTCAAGAAGGAGAGAGTGTTGACACGTCATGGGGTTGGCAATCAATGTCACAAAACAATATGTGTACTAATTGTTTAATGAGAAACTAGTTTGCTCTGTAAACCATCTAAAGTACAATAAAAAAATTAAAATAAAAGACTGCACAAAAAATAAAACAAAACAAACAAAAAACCCACAAAGATTTCTGGGAGCCAACAGAAGGCAGGAGAAGGGTATGGAACAGGTTTTCCCTCAGAGCTCTTGGAAAGGAATCAACATGGCTGACATCCTGATTTGAACTTCTAGCCTCCGGAACTGTGAGAATAAATTTCTGTTCTTCTAAGTCACTCAATTTGTGGTACTTTGTTATGGCAGCCCTAGGAAACTAATACATATACTATCTTTCAAAGCCCAGGTCGAATTTTGCTTTTCTCGTGCCTCTATCCCTGAACCCTTCAACTTATACTCATCGCATCCTTACGTATACACTGGGATGGTACCACTCCTTTGACCTTTAATCATAGTCTGTCTTTTGTTATTATTTTAACATTTCCCCCATCTGTCTTATTGCCAGCCACTTTGTAAGCCCAAGTTCCTTGAGAGTCTTTTTCTTTAACTTCGTTATATCCTCTCACTGTAGCAATCAAGGGGGCAGTATAATGTTGAGAATTATACTGACAACCCAAGGTTGAGCATGGGAGCTACAAACTATTAGTGTGTGGCCTTGGTCAAGTCACTTCGACTCTTTGAGCCATGATTTCCTCATTTATAAAATGGGAACAATAGTCATCTGTTTTCCATTTACCTCCTGGTGATCAAGTGAGACAATGAGGACAGACGCTGTAATTTCTCCAACATGGCCCATGTACCAGGAATGCATCTAGCATGCTGTAGGTGTTGAACAGTGAGTGAGTGAATGCGTGACCGGTCAGCATATCCTTTTGTTCTATCTAGACGGTTTCAGACTCAGACTGCCAACTGCCATGGAAAGGAAGATGGATGTCAAAAGGAGGAGACAGAGACTATGATCCTGCAGTGAAGACAACAAGCAGAAAGAAGTTGCAGTGGGGAAGTTGACTACATGAAGTCCTGGAATGTGGCCAGACAGGCAGCCGTGGAGGCTCTGGCCCTCCCCACCCACGGCTGGACACGTGCTGGGGATGGGGAGAGTGGAGCTCACTGGCAGCTGTTAGGGCCAGCTGGAAGGGGTGAGCTAATGCAAGCAGGGCCCAGAAGGGTTCCAAAACTGCTCAGAAGCCCTGCTATAGACAGTGAGCTATGGCTGGACAAGGTTGGAAGGATGGCTGCAGATGGCCCAGCTTCACAGAACAGCTTCATCAACTGGGGCCATTTATAGCAAAGACTTTGGCTCAATCACAAGCTTGAAATATCAATCCCTATTCAAAGAACAATATTTTGGAGATCCCCAAGTGGAAAACAGCACTTATTCATCTCTACTGCCTCACCTACTGGTACTGCTTATCCCAAAGAGGAGGGTTGTCGTTGAAAGCAAATGACTAGAATATTTAAAAGAAAGAAAAGGAAGGGGGAAAAGTAAGAGGAAAAGGTAAAACAAGCAAAATCAGATCAGAAGCATAGATGCGATCTTAGAACAATGGCCAATAAATAGTATGAATGCTTAATGAATTTTCTATTGTGGGGATTAGCTACAAGAAAGAGATCATCTCCTTTCACTTGTTCTCCTTGGCCAGGTTTCAGACATTATTGGTCTGTAAAACAGTCTTCAATAAGCTAGCATTTTTTATAGCAAACTGTGATTGTAATTTAAGGAGAACATAGGCATGTTGGCAGTGTGAAGGAGCTCTCCAATACTACGAACATTATACTTTCATGTTTCTTAGAGAAGAGATGCCTGGATCATTTCTTCTTGAACTGTTTAGGGCTATAGTTCGTTTCTCACTTTTGATTATTTCCCCAGTTTTTCTTTTTCCCTCTTTATTTCCATCATCAGGCTTGCTAGTGATCGGGGATAAGGTAACTAAATGAATTTGGGTTGCTTGAGCGAGGGTTGGTCTCTGTGGGAAGGAGACACAGTGGGAAGCAGACACAGCATTTTGAACTAGATGTCCAATATCAAATCAATGGTCACTTAGTCATTTTAATTCTCATTTCAAGTAAATGATATGTGAACCAAAGATCAGAACAGAAAGTGTGTTACAAAGGGAGGTTGAGGATCAAATTTGCAACCAGGGTTAGTGGAACAGAGACCTAGTATCCGTCCCCACGATTCTGGGACATTACCATTCTGGGACTTTGTTGTTGTTGTTAGGTGCCGTTAAGTTGGTTCTGACTCAGCAACCCTGTGTATAACAGAACAAATTGTTGCCCGGTCCTGTGCCATCCTCACAATCATTGCTATGTTTGGGCCCATTGTCGTAGCCACCATGTCAATCCATCTCGTTGAGGGTCTTCCTCTTCTTTGCTGACCCTCTACTTTACCAAGCATGATATCCTTCTCCAGGGACTGGCCCCTTTGATAACATGTCCAAAGTACATGAGACGAAGTCTCTCCATCCTCACTTCTAAGGAGGATTTGTTTGTTCTTCTGGCAGTCCACCGTATATTCAATATTCTTTGCCAACACCATAATTCAAAGGCACCAATTCTTCTTCTGTTTTCCTTATTCATTGTTTAGCTTTTGCAGGCATATGACTTTGTTAGCTGTCTCAAAAATAGAGACTTCCCATTTCAAAAGGTGCTGGATTATCAAGGAACCTACAGGCAATAGTTTCCCTTACCTACAGACAGGTGATGAAAGACACAGGGATCTGGTAGGATAAAAGGCATTGTGTGAAATTATGATTTATAGCTGCCAATTGGCACACAACTGAGAACCTGGTGTGGAGGGCAGGTGAGATGAGATTTGCTTTAATGAGTTGAAGATTCTTCTAAATGGTGTCTGAAGCATATAGCAAAACGAGCTTGTTGGAGTCACTGATTAAAGGGAGAAGTCTGTGGTTAAAGGGAATCCGTAGTCATTAAAGGCAGACCAAGCTTGAGCAGCCTTCTTTTAAAGAATAAACACATCTTGGTTGGGCCGAGGTCATCTCCTTTCTTCAGGGGCATTGCCCCAGCCACTTGGAGCAACTTGGCCTCACCTGGACAAGCCTGATGCAGGGTTCCCGGCCTTAGAAGTGGGGCGATGATTGCATTCTGCAGAGTGGCCTCCTCTTAAGATCACCTGGGTCTCCAGATTCTTTTCCACAGGAATGACTGAACTCCATGGGTGGGAGGAGACCTAGAGTCACTGAGTGTCTTCTGTCAACAAGTTGTGCATAAAAGTGGGCTTTAAACTACAGAGATGTCTGCGATGTGCCCAGAGCTGGAAGGCAGTGTGTCACAGGAGAGCACTGATTTGGGCCAGCTTGTCCTGGCAAGCTTGGCAGGCAGTGGCCACTGCTTGGGTCTCAGGACAGGAATGTGCTCAAGGTGCTGTCCTATCTCCTTCCCCAGTGCAGGCCTGGTGGCCTTTGCCATGGCTGGTAGGGGGAGAGAGTGGGGACACAAATAAAGGAAGGGGATATTCTGGGATTCACTTCATGTGCACACGTGAGGTTCTTGATGTAGTTGTTAGCTGCTGTCAAGTTGACCCCCAACTCATGGTGACCTCATGTACAATAGAACAAAACACTGCCCTTTCCTGCACCATCTCTGTGATCAGTTATGGATTGGACCATTGTGCTCCATAGGGTTTTCACTGATTTTTGGAAGTACATCATCAGACCTTTCTTCCTAGTCTGTCTTGGTCTGGAAGCTCTGCTGAAACCTGTTCAGCATCATGGAAACACACAAGTATCCACTGATAGCTAGGCGATGACTGCCTACGATGTGGACTGACTGGGAATCAAACCTGGGTCTCCTGCATGGGAGGTGAGAATTCTACCACTGAACCACCACTGTCCCTGGAATTCTTGTTTTGTTGTTGTGTGCCACCGAGTTGATTCCGACACATAGTGACCCGATAGGATAGGGTAGAACTGCCCCATATGGTTTCCTAGGCTGTAATCTTTACAGGAGCAGATCTCCAGGTCTTTCTCCTGTGGCACCTCTGGGTGAGTTCAAACCACCTTTGTTAGCAGCTGAGCACTTAGCCATTGAGCCACTGGTGGGTTCGAACCACTGACCTTTCAGTTAGCCGCTGAGCATTTAACCATTGCTCCACCAGGGCTCCTTTTGGGATTCTTGCTGGGAGTGAGTAGAAAGCCAGCAGCAGGCACAGGGGCCTCATCGTCAGGAGGAGTCAGCAGTGCCATCATTTCCAGCCCCGGCCTGCTGCTCTGTGTCCTCAGCAACCTGCCTGTTTCATCCTGCTTGGCTCCTGTCAACTCCTCACATCTGTGTCAGACCCCTGCCTGGATGCTCTGCTTTGAATACACTTTTCTGGCCTAAATAAGTTCTCTCCTGTGGACAGGACTTCTGGTTTCACCCTGCCTTCCAGCTCTGTACCTTGTGGGTTAAAGACACGGCTCTTTCACACAGGGCCCCAAGAAGAAACAAACCACCTGCTTCCTTCAAGCTCTGCCTGCTCTGTCCTGCAGCTGGGGGAGAAGGAACAAGATGCTCGTGGTAAGAGAATGATTTTCCTATGAAACAATGATTAGAAACCTCATTAAGAGGTTTGTTTTGAGGCTGGTCCATGATAGTATTGATTCATGGCAATCAGAGCAAAAGGACATTTGTGAGCTAGCCTGGAAAACTCACCTTGTTTTATAATGTCCCCCCCCCCACCCCCCATGGGACATTAGTGGTTAAAGAGTGTGGCTCTAACCAAAAGGTTGGCAGTTTGAATCCACCAGCTCCTCCTTGGAAACCCTCCAGGGCAGTTCTAGTTTGTCCTTTTGGGTCTCTGTGAGTTGGAATCGACTAACGGCAATGGGTATGGGACAACACAGTCTGAAGTAAGGAGGGGAAAAGGTTAACAAATGCACTTTAGAACAGGATTTTTAAATCGACTTGATTTTCTAGAACAGCTTTAGGTTTACAGGAAAGTTGTGCAGAGTACAGAAAATTCCCATATATCCCCCTTCCCCTACCCACAGTTTCCGCTGTTATGAACATCTTGCTTTCCTGTGGTACATTGGTTACAATTGATGAACCAGGATTGATGTACTATGAACTAAAGTCCAGCCTTTACATTAGGGTTCACTCTTTGTGTAGTCCACTCCTATGGGTTTTGCAAACGCATAACGTGATGTGTTCACCGTTACAGTGTCACACAGAAGAGTTTCACGGCCCTAAAAATGCCCTGGGCTCCACCTTTTCATTCTTCTCCTCTCCTCCTGGACCCCTGGCAAACGCAGATCTTTTCACTGTCTTTATAGTTTTGTCTTTGCCAGAATGTCATATAGTTGGAATCACACAGTATGTAGATTTTTCAGGCTGGCTTTTTTCACTTGTTGTTGTGAGTGCCCTCGAGTTGGTTCCGACTCATAGTGACCATATGTACAACAGAACCAAACACTGCCCGTTCCTGCACCATCCTCACAATCGTTGCTATGGTTGAGTGCATTGTTGCAGCCACTGTGCAATCCATCTTGTAGAGGGTCATTCTCTTTTTCGATGACCCTCTACTTTACCAAGCATAATGTCCTTCTCCAGGGACTTGGTCCCTCCTGATAACATGTTCAAAGTACAGGAGACACAGACTCTCCATCCTTGCTTCTAAGGAGCATTCTGGCTGTACTTCTTCCAAGACAGATTTGTTCATTCTCCTGGCAGTCCAGGGTATATTCAATATTCTTCGTCAACACCGTAATTCAAATGCATCAGTTTTTCTTTAGTCTTCTGGCTTATTCATTGTCCAGCTCTTGCATGCATATGAGGCAGTTGAAAATACCATGGCTTGGGTCAGGTGCGCCTTTCTTGCGCTTGGCAATATACACATAAATTCCCTCCATGTCTTTTTATGGCTGGATAACTTTCTTTTAATTACTGAATTATATTCCATTGTATAGATGCACCACAGTCTGTTTAGCTATTCACTTTTTGAAGGACAACTTGGTTTCTTCCAATTTTTGGCAATTAGGATTTTTTTAAACTGCTTACAAATTTTTAACTTAATTTTAAACTATGGATATAATACAACTGTATTATAAAGGCTAGAAAGAGAAAATGTGCTTTCCCACCATCCTAAGATAGCTACTCTTCAGCCTCATAGACAGCTTTCCCCCTTATATGTGTCTAGTTTACATCTTTGCAATCTTGTTGCAGATGCAATTTTGCTTATTGCCTTTTTCACTTAATTTGGAATTCTAAGTCTGCTGTACTTTGCTAGGGTGTCCTTGCAAGCATCACTTATAGAGAGTGAATGACATGCTCCTGTATAACACGCTCCTGGATGACTGGGCTGTGACTCACTGGAAGTCTCTGTCATCAGAAGTTTCATTGCTACCATCATTCAAATTTCAAGCAAAGGAAAGAAAAAAAAAAAAAATTTCTAGTCACAGGTAATTTGTTCATAAGTCAAGACGTCTTGGTGTGTCTTCACACTTAATTTGTCAAACCAGACTCCTCTTCCAAAACATTAGCCATCACCTGCTAGAAAAGGCTGGCGTGGTGGTGGGGGTGGGAGGATGGGATCAGAGCAGCTTTATAATAAAGCTGGGGTCTGGGAGCACCTTCTGTTGGGCTTCCTTTCCCATCTTCCTTCCCCTGCTTCACAGCAGATTCTCTCTGCCTCTTCTGGTTCAGCCTTTCACCTTCTGTTTGCCAGTCTGGGGATATCGGCCAATGTAACAGGAGGACTCTTAAGACGGAAGTGGGTTTGGGGGTGCTGTGGCTGTGGACTGAGCAAAGCAGACCTTCTCCCCTGCACCCTCCATGCTTCTCCTCCCCTCCGTCTTCCTCCCCTAACTCTATCCACTGGAATTGGAATGAGATTCATATGACATGTTCATCTATATCTTTTCTCTGACTGCCTGAGATATTGTACTATTTAGTAGCAGAAACACTGCCTTAAAAAAAAAAAAAATTGGTGCAGAAACTTGTATGAGATTATATGCTCAAGGGGCCTTTGGGGAGTGTGGTTTTCGGTGTTATTTTGTGATGAATTGTATCTTCTTGTAAAGAAGAGCTACTTCTTGAAAAGTGAGTTGCCGATTCTGGTGATTTCAGCATTTCTATAATCTAGGTGTAGGGCTGTGCTTCTGGTTCAGTGGCATTATAAGCTAAATCAAACTCCAGAGTATACAAAGGCAAACAAAAGCAAAAAAACCAAGCCCACTGCCCTCGAGTCAATTCCCACTCACAGTGACCCTATAGGACAGGGCAGAACTGCCCCATAGAGTTTCCAAGGAGCACCTGGAGGATTTGAACTGCCGACCCTTTGGGTAGCAGCCGTAGCACTTAACCACTATGCCCTCAGGGCTTCCATGAAGGTAAAGGGAGTCCTTATTAATGAGATTGTCAGAAAACAAGGGGTGTAGGGGTTTATAGGAGAGCGCTGGTCTAGGAAGGTGATGAGTCAGCAAACTCTCATCTGGACAGACCAAGAGGAGTCAAGGGTCAGGAGGGGAGTGGCGGACTGTGACAGGAGCCGTGCTAAATGCTGCATTTGGGTTTTCTCATTTAATCCTTACAACAGCCTTAAGAGGCAAGGACTATTATCTCATTTTCCTGATGAAAATATGATGTTTAGGGAAGTTAAGGAGGTCACCCGCTGCTAAGTGGCAGAGTGCAGGCTCTGCCCAGTGGGGAGACGGGTAGGGGGAGGAAAGGAGGACAGCAGAGAAAGACATGCCAGTGGTCAGTGTAACTAAGGGCTTAACTGGCTTGTCTATTTTCGGAGAGTCTGTTAATGCCCACTTTGCAGAGCCTGAGAATTTCATACAAGTGTTAAGGCCACGGCCTGTCAGTGACTCGTGCCTCCTGAAGCCGGTCATCGGAACTCAGAGCAGCCCCCGTTGTCCAGCCAGGCTTTGTGCATGCTTTTCAAAGCAACTAAACGTGATTCAACTGTGGTCCCAGAAACAAGAAATTTAAAGCCAATTCCCAGCTGAACAGCTAACTGTCGTTCATGGGCTATGCAATAGATATCTCACACTTTTAGATGAAGGAAAAAAAATGAATAAAGACAATTTAGAGTTTAATAAAGGCTTCCTAGTATGCATTTAAGGAGCCCTGGTGGCGCAGTGGTTAAGTGTTGGGCTGCTAACCTTAAGGTCAGCTGTTCGACCCCATCAGTCACGCTGCGAGAGAAAGATGTGAGAGTGCACTTCCATAAAGATTTACAGCCTTGACAACCCTATGGGGCAATTCTACTCTGTCCTATAGGGTCGCTAAGAGTTGCCACGGACTTGATGACCGTGGGTTTGGTTGGTATGCATTTTAAGACATTGAGCTGTGCACTGCAATGGATGGAAATTTAGAGATGGAACATTAGAACAAAGCTACCTATTTATTAAATTATCCCTTTACAGTTAACTGCTGCTGTATTTTGGGTAAGATCTTGGGATCGCTGACGTATACTACCTTCTCTATTAGAACCATAAAATTTACACTCAAACTCATAAAATATTTTCTTGGGCATCTTGTATTTGATTAACTTTCTTATATGCTCTGTTTCAAGGGCTGTGCGTCCATCCCATCATATTTCTTTACCCAATATATTATTTTCAGAGTTTCACACTTTTCCTTTATGGAAACAACTTGATTTAACCATGATTTTGTTTTTTTCTTCAGTGTTTGCTAGGTATAATGTAATTACTGGCTGCCAATTACTATTTTATTAAGGGATGCTCTAAAGCTTATTTTAAAAGCATTTCTGCTCATAAAACTGACACCATAAAATGGTGTTCATGATAATTATTTGCTATGAGAGAAGCGTACTATGAACTTAAAGCTGAGTGCTGTCTTACTTCCAGACAAATGGTGACCATTGCAGGAAGGCATGAGCTCAGAAACAACCGTTCTTGCTACTGATTGGAGAAAGACATCCATTAAATAGTACAGTACTGAGAGAAAGAGTGGTGATTCAAGTCTTAATGAGAGGAAAAATTGTAAAAGTGCTTCTCCCTAGGAAGACAATTCTTTAATTTGGAAAACTGTAAAGGTAGATTAACAATCCGAAGAGGCACTCTGCTAACTCAGAACTGAAGCCACTCCTGAAGTCCACCTTCTAGCCAAAGATCAGACAGGCCTATAAAACAAACAATAGCACACGTGAGGAACATACTTCTTAGTTAATCAAGTATAGGAGACCAAATGGGCAACACCTGCCCGGAAGCAAAGCTAAGAAGACAGGAAGGGTCAGGAAAACCTGGACAAATGGACACGAAGAACCCGAGGTGGAAAGGGAAAGGTGGAGAGTGCAGAAACATTGTGGGGATTGCAACCAATGTCACAAAACAATCTGTGTATGAGTTTTTGAATGGGAAACTAATCTGCGCTGTGAATTTTTCACCCAAAACCCGTTGCCATCGAGTTGATTCTGACTCATAGTAACCCTATAGGGCAGAGTAGAACTGCCCCATAGGGTTTCCAAGGAGCTGTTGGTGGATTTGAATCACTGATCTTTTGGTTGGCAGCCAAGCTCTTAACCACTGAGCAACCAGGGCTCCTTCACCTAA